CGCCGAACAATCGTCGGTCTTAAAACGCAACTCTATCTGAAAAATCCCCCCAAATTGCGCGCCGAACTATCGTCGGTCTTGAAACGCAACTCATAATCATCTGAAATAACGTCCCCTTAATCAAATTGTAATACTAAACGCATCATTTCGCCCGCGTGATTTTAAATTTTAATTGTAATAAGGCTCAATGAATTTAAAACTAATAACAGAACAGGGCTACGAGCCATAGATTCATGATGAAAGTTAAAGATTCGTACTTTTTAACGGTCACAATAAAAGTGAAGGTAGCCGAACAAATTTTCGAGATATTTATTGTAGAAACAGCAAAAATGTACGACTTCATAACCTCTTTCATGTCATCCGTAAACGTGGTAACGTCGCGTTTTTTATTCGCGCTCGCTGTTTCGGCGTCGTTAGAATGTGCATTAAGAAAATAAATTCTTATACTAAATAATAAAATGTGTATGGATTAATAAATTATTAGTATTATTTATTGTTAACGAATATTGCATGTATTGAAAATGCATTACAATAATAGAAATATAATATAGGTAATAACACAACGATCAATAACTAATTACAAAAATACACTAATCGTCATTTGAAAATAATTTGCATACTGTATTTAAAATTGTTTTATTAGTTGTGATGCGAGGTTTGCCATCTACACTTTCTCCGAATAAAATTCGAATTCCTTTCTGACCATTTTTTTTAAAAGTGTCTTGTAAAATTTGTTGGTTTATACCAGTTTTTGCTAATTTAGTGAGTGTACATTGAGAAATTTTATTTTTATAAATCTGCAAAGTAGATTTATTGATTAACTCTGCGTTTTTCTTTTCTTTTGATCTTAATATTTGATCAACGGTTTTTGCATGAGTTTTGATAACATTATCTGTAATTCCAAGCTTAGGTAGAAGTTTAAGAAGAACATCAACGTCATTAACTGCATTATGTAATTTATCAGTATTTGCGTTGGGCAGAAAGTCCGTAGCTAGAGCTTGAACAGAAAACTTTTTTTTTTCCTTTATTCTGCCAGTAAGAATTTTCTTACTGATGTCCCAGGTAGCAAACACACGTCATTTTGACGTCAAATTCTGGTCATGTTGGTACGAATGACGTCAAGTGACCAAAAAGTGACCAACCGATATTATAACGTCATTATGACATCGTCATAATGACGTTATAATGACGTTATATTTTGGTTCTCCTTAATTTTCCTTTTAATAAGAAAAAAGATATAGTAATAGTAACCAAAAAGAAATAATTAAACACAAATAGCTGATTATCATTGAATTATTTTGTTAAAATAACAAAATACAATTTTTTTGTTAAATGAACAAAATATTGTAAATTTTTTTATTTAGCGGCGGTACACATTTATTTGCTTACTTACTTTTTGTAAATAACAAGGTAAAATTTTGTTGCCATTATAAAATAAGTGTTCTTTTTGTAATTTTAACAAAATAATCTGTTTGGGTAGACAAAATATTTTTATTAAAAGTATATATAGACAATTTGAAACATCTCTGTCAATAAGGTAACAGTGGAGCAGTACGTTAGGTGAACGACTCAGAACAGGACCATGGATCAAGTCACGAGTTCAAATCCTATCAGGTTTAAAAGTTTTTTCCTAGGTATTATTAGTCAGTTCAGCACTTAAGGAGAGGACACAAATGATGGAGAAAGAAATCTAATTAATAAGAACTGCTGTAACTTTTTTTTTTTCGTGTGCGTCCACATGCGTGCGAGCAATATGGCACCCAATGAGGATCTGTCATACGCATGACATTCACGCGTGCGGATAATTTTGCACGCGTGAATGCACTGTGAGACCATTGTGCGCGCATTTTGTTATCTGGGAACATGATGTTAAAATGACGTCCTTGCAATGACGTCAATAATTTTGCGACATTAGTACGTCATTAGTACGTCATTAAAACGTCATTTAATGACGTCAGTCATGATCAGTAAATGACCCAAATTTGACGTCAAAATGACGTATATTTGCTACCTGGGGTGTAACGAATCTGAGCAGCCACACACTATGGATTTAAATTCTTTAATCAATCCTAAATCTGCTACAAGATTTATTATCCTTGGCATGTCAAAGCTGAATTTAAAAAATTGTGTATTAAAATAAAAATTTAATAAAAAGTTTACAAGAAGTTTGAATACCTAAAAGCATTGTGTGCAAGCAGAATTATTGGACATTTAAAACTCTGAAGATATGTTAAGAAATTTGTACAAGCGATTTTAACTGGAAACGCTTCTACTTTTTCATCGCCATAATATAAATCGCCAGCTATTAGTTGTAAACCCGTTATCTCATACGCTTTTTTAGATATATTTTTAGACGGAATAATGTATGCGTTGAATGAATTTTCTTCAGTACATGCTGCAATCTAAAAATCAAACACAACGTTTTTGTAAATTTACTTTTGTATATTTGTACATAAATATAAATGTGTTTACCTGGCAGATTTCATCATTTTTGGACAAACCTGTTGTTTCCAAATAAAAAATAACTACTTTGAATTTATTTAAACATTCAAGTGTATAATCCTTTATTTCTGGGATCAGTTTCGGTAACACTGCAGACACATCATCTAAAGAAACTCCACTTTCGTAGGTCACACCTTCTTTGCGAGAGTTAATAGAATTTTTGGATTTCCGCAGTTTTTTTAATTGCAATCTTCGCTTTTTCTTATTGATTGTTTTATTCAAGATTTTTTGTTTTTCCATCTTTATATTTTTACTTTTTCGGAATTTTTCAGATAGGAGAGCTGGCATAATGTTTAGTTTTTCTCGAACATTCGAAAAGTAATTGCAGCCTATATTTTTTTTACATACAGCTGCAGCTACACGAAAACTCAAAGAATCTGAGGCACTATAATGTCTTGATTTAGGGTTCTTACTAGCGATCATATGGTTTACAGATTCATTGCCCTGCGTTGAACCACAATTTGCAATTTTCTTAGCGTTATCAGCATAACGAGAAAATATTTTAGTTAATGAGACACGTAAGTCTGTGTTTTGTATTGGTTTTCCGTTCGGTAAATTTTTGTGCACATAACTTACGTTAGGATTACTTTTTCCTGCGCACCAATCTCCACAAAGTGTGTGATCTCCAAAAGCGTGCGGAACAACGCTTCGCAAAGCTTTTTCAATTTTTGCAGCATCTCCTTTATTTTGCTTGACAGCATGAGAGAAACAGTGTGAAAAGTATTCAATGTGTTTTGGAGATAGTTTTAACGTATATAGCGCACTCGTCATTGACTTGTGGGTATGGTTATAATCAGACCATTTGTAAATTTCGTAGGAGGCTGCTCTACGTACAGCAGCAATTGTACTAGAATCATCGTCTCCAATTAGAACAGTTATTCTTACGTTCTCTTGCTTAAATAAAACATTTTTATGAATGAGTTCAACTGCCATATCAGGTTCCATAGCTTTTGCAGAGCCCTTGTAGTTTTTTCTGCAATCATGTTCTTTATTATTCTGACCAAGACTACACTTACGACAGGTTGTACACTGAACAGCATAGGATATTATTTTTCCAGAATAATGCCCTATGAGAGTGCCATGACCTACAACGTATGCGTAATAGGTCTTCAACAATAACCCATTACCTAAGTTTTAAGTCATAAGAAATTGACCACTCACAGTTGATTATTCTTCTCACATTCGATTGTGATTAACAAATATAACAAATATACAAATAACAAATTTACAAATAACAAATAACAAACAAATAACAAATTTACTTTCGTATTGATATATCAATTTATTTTTAGTTTTAAAAAAATTGTGTTTAAATGTACATAATTTTATTTAATAATTAATTACCAGACAAGCTATTGTAAGAATGACCTGTGCCACGTTTTTGCCAACCAGCATCATAACCTGCTATCAAATCAACCGGAACAGAAGCTTCTCTTCCTATTTCCGAATCGTTTGTTACACCACCAATATCCATTCTACATAAACAAAGTTCATACATACATTCTTTTAACAGGTATCATATTTGCTAAAGTTATTTAAATATATTATATATTTATACGTATATTTACAAAAAAGTATATTATGGGTAATGACAACATTTTTTGTGGTGCACAAAAATTTACTAATTTATTGCATATAATATTTTTGAATACAATACAATACAACGTTGTTATATAAATCTAGCTCACGAATTATCTTGTTACATACAAATAATTGATACATGTGTAGATAACATATTCTTGGCAATAATTATTAATACATGATCCAAAAATAAATATAATCATGGAGTAGAAATAAAACTTGTTTATAAAGTAAAAAAAAAAAACAAATGATGTAAAAAATTCATTGGTAATAAAAAAAATCAATGATGCAAAAAATTCATCGGTAATATAAAATCAATTACTTATATATGATCAATTACGTAAAAATTCAGTAGTGACATAATACATCATAACTGTACACAATTAATTCAGATTTTTAAACAGAATTAAAACAAAAAAAATATGTCCTGCCTCAAAAATGCTTACATGCTCTCTTTCTGAATATTAGCCAGCGTCTCCTTCTTTTCTAATCTAATACTCTCTAAACATGATTCTTTAGCTACTTTTTCTATAGCTTTACCTACTCTTCTTTCAGTTTTTTTTAAAAAAGCAGGGGAGATTGTTTGAAAATTGGCTGCAGCGAATAGACCGTTGATATGCGTCTCGCCAAGCCCATGATCTATCATTCCTGTAAATGTAATACAATATATTTAATGACTAAAACCAATAAAATAGATAAATTATAAAGTACACACCAAGAGCAATATTCAAATTAACTGGAAAACTGATTGGTGAATTCTCCTCTGCTTGAAAAGTAGGAACTTTGTGCAATATATTACAACGTAAGCACTCGACTGTAAGAATACTGGCGACACCATATTTATTATCATGCCTCACGTCTCTTAAAGAAATTGGCAGGTCGCATTTTGTACACCATAGATTCTTTCCCAAGGTTGTTATATCTACGTGTTTATTCATTTCTACATGGTCTTTATCGGATCTTATTTTCTTTGGATTATTTTCTGGAAAACAAAACAAAAAATATTACGTTTCATTATTGATTCCTACAATATATTTAATTCAGAATTGACTACATATACTTTTAATAAAAAGTATATTATAATAGGTCTAAATCTTTACGAAAAAGAAGAATTGAAAATATATTAACTAACCTCTAAAAGCTTCTTGTGTCTACTTGCGTCCACACTTTGTAATAGCTTTTCTCTTGCTTGTACAATTTTGGCTTTTGTGAACTGATTTTTTTTCTTTCCCCGAACTCTTCTCACTGTATGATTTGACTTGGGAGACATTTTAACTATGTAATAATAAAGAAATAAGCAAGCGATTTAGCAAAATACGCTTTATACGCGAATAATCGCGAAGGTTAGGTTAAGTGGAGGTAGCCGAACAAATTTTCGAGATATTTATTGTAGAAACAGCAAAAATGTACGATTTCATAACCTCTTTCATGTCACTACGTGGTTCATCGCTACGTATAAACAATATTAATATTATTAAAACTTTATTATTTCAATGCAAATATTATCAACAAAGACCTTAAAATTTATAAATATATTTAATGAACGCCATATATATAATTCGACGCAATTTTTATTCTCAGCATTCAGTTGACTAGGGAGTCCGTGAAGAACTATCTTAACTTCACAAACTGTACACCTGGCTTCTCTGAACTCAGGATCAGTTTCAAATTTTTGATTTTTACTAAGCCACCCTATTTATTGAAAAAAAATTAAACACTCCTGTTTATTTTTTCATAGATATAAAATAGAATAGATATGAATAGAAAGAAATATAAAGGGATTATCCATAAAAAATAAACAAAAAGGTTATGTTAAAATTTACCTTTCAATTTCTTCTCTCTTTCCTAACATTTTTTATATTTTCGAGAATACTTCTTCCATTTTCCCATGTTTTCAAAATGGTACAATTGACGAAATCGCTGTTTCAGGTTACCAAATGCATTTTCGATAATAACTCGACATGAGCTCAATCTTCGGTTAAAATTGATTTGAGCTCGTGTCAAGTGTCCATTATCTCTATATGGAACAATCAGCCGTTGTAAACAAGGATATGCACTATCTCCAAGCAAGTATCCATGTTCTGCAAATTAGAAAATTGGTTCAGTAAAAGATTGCACATTAATTTTCTTAACAATAGCATTTAAAAAATATTAAAAATATACTTATATATATTTTGATATTTTTTAAATGTAAAACAATTATATTACAAACCTCCACAAAGTTCATTTAGGCTATTGTACACAGGCGATTCCCTAAAAACTCTTGCGTCATGAACTGATCCAGGGTAACCAATAAATACATTTATAAACTTTTGTTCGTAGTTCACAATGCCTTGTAATTGAATGGAAAAAAATTGCTTCCTATTTATATATGAATCTTTATCTTCTATTGGTTTGTCGATTCGAATATGCGACCCATCTATAGCACCTGTAGTGAATTATCAATAATGAAATGATCAAAATTACATGTACGAAAATAGTCTTTTGAAATATATACCTATTACTCCAGGAAATCTTTTTTGCTGAACAAAATATTGTTTAGTGGCCTCTCTGTCTTGTAATGTAGGGAATCTGATGACATTTGGTGCAAGGGATATTAAAAAATTTGTGACTCGGGATATAACATTGTACAGTGCACTTATAGTAATTCCAAATCTATCTGCTACATCTCGATAGCCAGCACTTTCATGTCCAACGTACCAAAGAAAACTTAAGATATGTTTCTCTGGAGATATAGGCTCGTATCCGGCATGAGCTGCAATAACATACATAGATAAAGAAAATTATACTGAGTTCACTTTAACCAAATGCTAGAAGTTTGTAAGCAGAATTTAAAATAGTATTAGATAATTTTGAAAGGAATTTAATAAGCTTTAAGATAGTGTTATGTAAAATTTAATTCAAATTCTATTTCTTTTTTTTAATCAAAAGAATATAAAAGGTGAACAAATCGCAAAATAAAAAAATTGTGCTCCTAATATGAGATACCCCGAGAAAAATCGATAATAAAGTGCAAAGTACATCGGTATTACAATTAAAAAATTTAAATTTGTTTAATTTAATTTAATTTAATTTTTACTTTAATATTTTTTTTTATTTATTATATGCCTTATTTTTCTATTAGTACGATCTTACTCTGTCACTACATGAAGAATTTATTGCCAAATATTTACTTATTAAATAATAAACAAAGATTAAAGATTCATCTCAATGAAATATGAAGATATCCAAATTCTAAAATTTTATTTTACAATGACTGTAGACATGATCCAACAATGAATTTTCCACTAAATAGTTTTCAATACACGAGCAATAATTTCATGATGGAATTAACAGATAGCGTTTATTAGTTTAGCAGAAACGCCGCTATCTCTTATTAGGCGCCTATCTCAGAATAGCTTTCCTCTAATAATATAGTGAGATATTATATTCATAAAATTATGCGACTAAAATATATGTATTTATAAATGATGATGTATGTAACCCATAATTATGGTATAATGAACCTTGTAATGCCAAAAAAGTTGGAGATGCTGCAAAACGATTGATCAACTCATTGGTTATTTCTCGTGATAACCGAAAGTGCATTATGAAATCTTTCCCACTGTATAAATGTACAACATTGTCAATATAATTAAGAATTTTTACATGATGTACTCTTTGAACAACTCCTAATACTGGTTCTAATATCTGTCCAATGTTTTCATCTAAAAAAAAAGTTTTCATATTAGATATTATACACTTTAAACAGATCGGTAAAACAAATATACTCTGTAGTAAATAAAGAATCATTTAATTGTCATTTCTTACTATTATTTGCAGCGAATAAAATTGGTTCAAAGACATTCTCGTCATAATCCTCTTCATATTAGATGACGAATTAGATTCATTGTCAGACTCAGACTCCAAAATGTGATCAAGAATTTCTGCATTCATTTCATCCATTTTGATAACAAATACAGTTAATAAATTTTAAGAAATTAAACCACTTTTTCACCAAAACTCTAGACCGAACCTAAACACCATGCATAAATGCAGGGAATGGAAAGTTACTTTTTAAAAATAACTAGTTACAGTTACTCGTTACCGAGTAAAAAATGTAACTAGTTACAGTTACAGTTATCGCTTTTTAAAAGTAACTCGTTACAGTTACCGTTACTTGAAAAATAACTTTTCGTTACTTTTCCGTTACTTTTTTAAAATCAATTTAAAAATGTACTTTTGCA